GACAGAACTGTACAGCGTCGACCTCACTCCTTCTCCATTAACCACTATGTTCTCATGCCACGACATAACAGAGAAGATACCAAGTGGGCAGTGCGGTAGGTAACGATATTTAAAAAGCCGTCTGCGCGTGCTACACACGACCCCGTCATGGTTCCGTACGTACAGTTAGGGTGCTATCGGATCTCGTGAAAATGAGAAGCTCACTAAATGTGCATTTAAATGCGATATTGCAACTTAATTCTTGGTGTTTAGTAGGAACAAATTAGCTGCTTAGCTGGAAACCTTCGAAGTCACAGCCTTGAGCGTTTTGTGATAGATTAGAACGTGTCAGCTGTAGCATTACGATGGATGCGCTGATGTGCCATTTGAAGGTTTGCCCATGTTTGGCCTGATTCTCCCATTTCACTACTATTATGGGCCCGAACAAGTTCTGCGCAACCGGGCTAACGCATGGACTGGGTTAATTTGACCACCGAGTAGCGACAGATTGCACATCAATTGAACCATATATAAACAGGAAGCAGACGCTAGAACTAATGAAAAGCTACTCTTTTAGTACAATATTTCTGTTGTATCTAAGTATATTTATATGTGTTAAACAAATACTATCATTAAACTTGCTGTTCGATAGTTTTAACGACTGTTTTCTAGAAGGGTAAATGGTTACTTCTATTTGCTATCGCTACAATCAAACTGAATATTTTCTAAATTCCTATCGTTCACGTATTACAAAATTCTGGGGTTGTATAATACTAAGGTGATATTTCAAAACTACACTTACCGATCACCGCTTCGGTTCAGTGCATTTCCAACTCAGCAATTTGTGTGGAGACAGGGGCCTACGTTCATATATAAAATCTAGAGAAGTAATCAGAAAATACTGTTTCTGTAGTTCCGTGTGAGGTTTAAATATCGTTTACGTGGTTTACCTTTAAGCGACGTTACAGAAAATTATATCACAAATCTCATGTACTAACCAGATTTTAGCTTTATGGATCAATGTTTCTACAGTGTTTTTAAAAACCGACCCAACGGCATTGTTTTCAGAAGGCTTTAACGTAACTTTTCCTCCACAGATCATCGCCTCTACGGGTAGTTTAAAAACCGACACATCGGACAGCAGACT